CCTGGGAATCTTCTCCAGCTGGAGCCAGCAGACGCAGAGAAGGAAACGTCTGTAAACTTAGATGATTAAACTCCTCTACAGCTGCTACAGTTACTTGCCATCGTGACCATTACAAACGCAATTACTTCAAACATCACTGAACACAAACTTCACATTGTACGTAGGTGAATTTAAAGGAGCAAAGACATTGTGAAACCATAATGACAAACAAGCTAGCTGTCATAAGCACAAAGTAACATGTTAACTGTAGACCTGGTACTTTTAGGATGGATGTGGAGTCTCACCATGGGACCCCAGAACACTAGAAACTTAAAACTTCCTGCAGCTTTCTCATTTGGAAGCTGGCTGCACCGAAAATGATGTTTCAGCTATTTGAACTCTGGACTGCTGTCTGTCTGAACCACATGGGCTCATGTGCAACCATGACTGACAGCAAGCACAACACTATTTACCCAGTTTAATTTCTGAACTTCTGGTTTTCACCTTTTGTCGACCTTGCTTTACCACCAAAGGTCATTGTGTTTTATCATTTAGTAATAGTGTGTACTATGTAAATTTCTGAACTGTATCTTATATGCAGCTCTTCACAGCACTTAAGTATCTATTCTTAAATAATATATATAATATTAATTCCTCCTTAATATGCCAGTTTGTTCTGAATTAATCCATTACTTGTTTGGTCTATAGAATATCACAATGGTGAAAACCATCCAAAACCCCGGTCATAACAAAGAAAGGAAACAAATCCTCACAACTAAGGTAAAACCAGCTGAATTGTTGACTATTTGGCTGCGATACAGAACCCACCTTTGACAGAACTGGTGAGGTGAATTTGGGCGGCTCGCTGGCTGCTTGTTGGTAGAACAGGGTGAGAGGCTGAATGAGAGAAGCAAGCGCCTCCTGGACTGCGTTGGCGAGGATGAGGTTAGTGAAGAGCGCAGACAGAACGGATACCAGAGCCATTCCTGTGGCCTCAGAAGCCTCAGGGGCCTCCAGATAAACCTCTAGACACTGTACCAGCAGGGCCTGGAATGTGGACAGGTTCCCCAGGGCCTTACTCCTTTTCTTCATCCAGTTTCCAGGAGTGTGAGGAGCTGGAAGAGACACAGGTGAACAGCAAGTTATCCAAGTGTCTCTTAACGATGAAGACTGAAATAAGTTTAGGTGAAGTTTTCTTACACTTCATTTTTTGTTG